GCTGCTTTTAAACTTCAGTGCGTGCCAGTATATGACCCCACATTTATATCTAAAAAGAGTTTATTTTTGTTTTTCAAATCTCCAGATCTGTATTATAAAAGAACGGAGAGCGCTCTCCAAAAATATGCATAATTCGCTAAAATCGAATGAGTCGAGATTTTCAAAAAAAAACAGTATTCACACAAGCTCACGCATAAATCCACAGTTTGCAATAGCTAAGAGCGAAATTCTTGGTCACAAAAGCCTCCTGGCATAATTCCTATTCCTGACTACTCATCCTAATTAATAGCAATTGTACATTTTTGCTAAAATCAGTGCTAGAAACAAAAATGATTTAAATTATTTCGACAAAAACTAGGAAGGACAGTCGCAGTGAACGAGCTGATTAATAAATGGAGGGGAAAGACCCGAATTTGTATGTGGCTGCGAGTCTAGAAGCCGGATGCACTACACATACGTTAAGCAAATTTGTTAATATCCTTAGTAATTGCTTATTGCCAATTACCAAATACGATAATTAACAGCTGGATACAAGTCAAAGTGAGAGTAAAAGTTCTTTTTCTCAGTACTTCAAAGCCGAAAGCAGAAGTATCCTAAAGTTTCCTGAGCGGTCACATGTGTCAGCAGCAACAGCCCACTGGCAAAGCTGTCGTTGGCCTCTCTTGCCGATCAAGAATTAGGGTAGACCAGTTTAACGTAGAAGCGAATGAGCGAGTCGTAGAGGAAGTGGTTGTTCCACAGGAAAAATCAAGCACTTGATATCCAATTTGTTTCTGCGTTGCTTAAACAAGAAACCCAGCAAAAAATTGTAGTAAACAATAATATTGTCATAGTTCTAAAAATTCTAGGAAGCTCCTCTTTACGCAGTTTCAAAGTATATTTTGTATATTTTATAGTTTGTCCCGGTACTTGCTACTTGAAACAGCTTCTAGTTTGCCAGTAATTCTTTAGCAATGTAGCCAAAAACCAAGCCAACTCTTTTCTTGATTTCTCAGTTTTCTCAAATACAAAGCTACGTCGCCCGGCTCTAAGCTTTCTGGCGGTAACTTCTTTTACGGCTCTTGAAGTGATTACCGGCTCATTGGTTTTTAGTCAGTTGAAGATTTTTTCAAAGTTTATGTGCTTTGGATGTCACCACCTAGTTCTGTAGCGTTGCCGCTTCCAGACTATGTCAAGATTCCTCGCCACCTGGAAGATTTTTCAATTTTTCCGTTTTTTGTAATTTTTTTGTGGATTCCAGCCTATTACCAAAATTATTTCTAGGGCTTTTACGATCCACATTACTCCCAAGGAAATTCCAGATACGCCACAAATAGTAGTAGCAGCAGGAATCCTGCTAAAAATGGAATCACAAAACAGCATTATTAGCTACAGTAAAAAAGGTATTAAGTGTGGCTCCTGTTTTTTCATTCCTCGAAAGCAAATCTGAAAATAAAAAAAACCGTACAAAATAGCGCTGCGTGTGGGTCTTCTTGATTGTAAGCACTATTACCCAGGTTGAAGACGAATGCACCGTTACGCTCAAAAACTGTCTGAGTCTCGGTGGGTTCTTCAACTTTGGAAATTGATGTATTAGCGGCGGATACTGACAGTTGATGTGTGAAAGTTTTAGCTGACGAAGTGTTTTTGTCAAAGGTGCATAGCTGGAACAAATTAGTGATGGCACGTCCATTTTCATATCATGTACTGCTTCACTTTCCCTTTTTCGCTATTTCTATGATTGTTACTGTTTAGTTAACCGAGTAACTCTGTTAATTAGATATCTGCTTTAGTTGTTCTGAAGGAAAGTGACACAGATTCCTATAAAAAAATGTTGAAGAATGTTGGCAAAACCGAGTAAACTGAAGAATCAGTCTAAGAAAGTGCAACAACTGCTGTCAAGCATCCTGATCTATGCAGATAGCTTGTAAAAGCTTTATTGTATTGTAGATGAACGTGCTTTTAGTCTAATAACAGTAAGAGGTAATAATTAGCAATTGCTCTTTATTGTCATCCAGAGCTTTCATTCGATTCAGCAGATGGATACCAGGCTCTGAATCTCGAGCCCTCTTCAGTCACTTGCCGAATGCTAATAATAAAGTATTTTATAAATTAACAAGTAGCATGTAATTTTAGAGAACCAGTGTACATGCAGCCTATTAATGTATTAAATAGCAGAACAGAGAGACTGGACTAAGTGTTATGTGTAAGTAGAATTTTACGATGCAGCCGGTGTTTCATCCCTCAGTTGTAAACACAGACCGAACTCAGCATACGCGTAGGAGTGGGAATCTTCAGTACAGCCTCTTATCCGCCAAGCACCGAACAGTCGTGAAACTAATTTACAAGATGAGTACGCGAAAGAAAGAGAAAACAGAAGGAGAACAAGGAGAGCGCTCCTTGTTTCAAAACGCATGAAAAAGCGGCATTCCCCCCATTCCTCAGCTGGAATTGAACTATTTCAGCCCTTCATCCGAAGACAAGGCGCATGTACGTTGAATAAGCGGCAAAACGAATTATGGAGCAAGATCGGAAGGTCTGAAATGGCTGAGTCAGAGATATGGAAGCATATTAGTAACATCACGCACAACTGGAATCTTCGCACTGATTTTCCGAGCAGTCTAGGCATTCTTGGTATTTCGGAGACTAAATTTTTTTTTTTCATCACTAGCAATCCGAAGTGCAAAAGTTATGACCAAAATTGTCGGCTCTTTATTGACACAATCCAGAAATTTTGAATCGGCCATTAGTAAGTCTTCAACAACTGTGTAGGAGCTCAAAAATGTTTTACAACATAAAACAATGAGCTTCGAAAAGCTCGAAAATAACTTTTATACTTAAGAGTTTTGACAACAAGCACATTGTAAAACTGCTGGTAGAAATTGTCCACAGCAAATTTAGGAAAAAAGGTTTCTTCTGAATTTTGAACGGGAAATGAAAACCCAGCACACTGAGGCAAATTTTTAAACGAACAAAAAATAATCACTTGTGCTGAATTGCAAGCGACTCGTCCAGGGATGAAAAAGGAGATGGGGCGTTCACATAGTTGGAATTCGGCTTCACAGTCTGTAGGGGGAACACATAAAATAGAAAGTTCAGCGCAAGTTCCACAGAAAAGATATTCAGTTAGACTTAACAGAGGAGCGATGCCGATGATTCGGGTCATCGGAATAATCATTCTATCGAGTAATCGGATTATGCGACAACGAGCTTGTTTAGAAAGCGATTCCTTAGGCCAGTGAACTTTCAAGATCATATTGTGCCTACTCATTTCAAAATTTTTCAAAAAACTCAAAGGATTATGCCAAATTTATAATATGATTTGTTAAGCTCAAGGAATTTTGAGGGCTATGAACTCCTGTGTGGGATTTTCTAAACTGAAATCTTTCTAGCACAGAGGTCATTTTCTAAGACGAGGCTACCGGCTACCAACAAGAGATCCTTAGCCTGCGATGTAGAATCTTCTGTTTTGCACAAATTTTGTCAGAAAATGAATTGGAGCTAGTACAAATCAAGCAAGTAGAATACTGAAATTCTCTGTCGACTTCATAACATTTCTTGCTAAAATTTTATTAAACAGCTATCTGTAAAACAAGGTGGAAATGGAGGAGG